TAGCCTACCTTCTCCCCCTCCCCCTCTCTCCTCCAACCGCCCCTTTAGCCTACCTCCCCCCTCCCCTCCCTCCTTCCTTTCCCTCTCCCTCCCTAACACTCCTCCGCTTTTCCCGCATCCCTAATGCATTATGCACCTCTCCCTGGCCATCATCTGATCGCGACGGGCCTCTCCTCGGGCTATCCTTTCTGCCAATCGGCTCTAAAAAGATAATATCTGCGATTCATTAATACGGAAGACTCCAAAAGGATTTAATAAACCGTGAAAATCGATCCCGGAACGATTTCCGCTGTTTTAAGATGGTTCCGGATCTTTTCCGGATCTTTTAGAATACTACCTGTTCCGAAAACATCGGACACCAACTTTGTAGGTAACGGATCTTGTAGGTAAACTTAAACTAGCTTTATTATTCTATGCTTAAACTATGTAGCTCACTTCAGTTTCAGTTAAGTCTAGAATACGGGAACCAATCAGAAATGGATTCAAATTGTCTTGACTCTCAGTATAAAGGGACTCTAATAGAGGTCTGATAGATTCAGCGCGGTCAAACCAGAAGGAGTACGCTCAGCAAGTAAGGTTAACAATATTAATAAACATCGAACTCTCAACCCCCTTACAAGTCAACCATCTAGTCGACTGCACTCAACTAAATCAACTTAGAAGAGGCTATACTTTTTATATTCCTTTCCTATGGTTAGTCCCCCCCACCTTTAATGTAGATCGAACAATTGAATCTAAACCATCCCGGAGAGCTTATACATCCTAAATACATACATCATAAATGTGAAGTTACTCCTTATATATACATCCTGTACAAGTATCCATGCGAAAGGTGCCTTATCTATGGACATAAAGCTTACATTAAAGATAAACTTATTTGTCTGAACAGCCGCAGTTGTAGTAACTGTGGTAAACCTGAAAGTACCTACAACCCCAATTCCTGCCTAATCTGTGATCCTGCCCCAGCAAACCCATGTGCATGAACTGTAAAGGCTCACATTCCAGTCTTGATTCAAGCTGCCTCGGTAGGCAAATTGAATACCGTTTTAAGGAATTTTTGGCAGAGAAGAACTACTCCTACACAACAGCTAAAGAATCCTTAACGCAAATTGACCCAAGCCTCCTTACAGTAACAAACCCCACCAATCCTGACAAAGATACCCATTTTAGAGATGGTACTTCTCGCGGTTTTCAAGTCACAGTGATAGCCAGAGCCGGATTTAGGTTTTGGCCCCCCGCCGCAGATATATGGTGACTGACTGTGATCCAATATCTAGGGATTTTTTTGATAAGATAAAAGTAAGTAAAAATGGACTGTTACCCTCAATTTTATGTTCGACTCAGAAGAAAGTATTTTCATCTAAGTATATTTTGTAGGCCTTCCGTATTGGCAACACTATTTTTTCCCGATAACAGGCAGGAACATAAACATATAACTATTGCTTCACTCGATATACCTCACACTTCCATGGAATAAGAATAAGAAAAAAAACCTCAACTAATATTCTTTCATTTCATTGGTCTGTTCAACGCTTTCATAGGGCGGCAAAATTCCAACAAGCCAATCACATTTTATGATTGCAAATCGGCACGTCAAATGATGTCATAATTCTATATTGAAAATGGTGGTTTTTTTGCAATATCTAGGGATTTTTTGGGGACATCCGAGCAAATCTAGGGATTTTTAGCGTAATCTAGGGATTCTTTCTGTCCGGCTGGGGATTTTATAACAGATCAATAATATAATATCTTAATTTTGATCAATTTAATATCTTATAGATTCACGGGTCATTCCATGTCAACTCAACAAGGTTTTGAACCTTGACCTCTCGGATCATGTTCAAACTTGGTGTGCTGCAAGTTCCTATTGAAAAAGAAATATTCCCCAAATCTTCGGTCATTTGGTCCCTCCGTTAATTTTATACGGAATTTCAAAGTTTGGAAAAAATTGAGTTTTTCTATGACCAATAAAACTTTGAACGGCTGTTACTTTTCAACGGTTCAGCGGAAAACTTGAACTAGGTCTTGTTTTGAAGCCTAGAGGTTCTTTTTATAAGAAAAAAAAATTGAAAAAAAATTTTTTGAAAATTTTTGGAAAATTTTGAATTTTCAAATTTGGATTTTTCAAAAAGGGCATTTTTTAAAATTTTGATTTTCTTTGTAGGTGATCCTTACATAATTTTAAAGCATCTCCCAAAGTTTCATCGTGGGCCGCCAAGTGGTTCCTGAGTTATAGCAATAAACGTACCGTAATCCTACTTAAAATGCATCAGATGTGCCTACTATACATATATAAGTAATGCATAAGCCATGCATAGTAGGGACAGATTCCCTTGACATGGCTGTTAATAGTTAATAGGCTCTAAATAGTGGGAATATGATGTTTTCATGGATGCTCATTGTTTAGTATCACCTTTTGTAAATGAGGTATTTAAAACATCCGAAGGGGNGGGGGGGGGGGGGGGGGGGGGGGAGGAGAGCAGGATGCCTGCTCACTCTCCACATGGAACATTTTTGCCCTGCCTCAACAGCAAATTTTTGCAAGGTTTTTTTTGTTTCCTCTTCTTCTCTCTTTTCCCCCAGTGAAATTCAGAAAAATGAAGGAAAAATAAGAAATTATATCTAGCTATGAGTACTACTTAGAAGATCAGCAGAAGTAATATTAAGGTTACCACTAATGATAATTTTGTCTTTATTATACATACTTCTTTTAATCTTAGTTGATTTAACTGCTTAATTCTTATTTTTCCTTCATTTTTCTAAATTTCACTGGGGGAAAAAAGAGAAGAAGAGGAAACAAAAAAAAACCTTGCAAAAATTTGCTGTTGAGGCAGGGCAAAAATGTTGCATGTGGAGAGTGAGCAGGCATCCCGCTCTCCTCTCCCCTCCCCCCCCCCCTTCGGATGTTTTAAATATCTATTTTACAAAAGGTGATACTAAACAATGAGCATCCATGAAAACATCCTATTCCCACTATTTAGAGTCTATTAACTATTAACAGCCATGTCAAGGGAAACTGTCCCTACTACGCATGGCTTATGCATTACTTATGTATATGTATACCTATAGTAGGTACATATGATGGATTTTAAGTAGGATTACGGTACGTTTATTGCTATAACTCAGGAGCCACTTGGCGTCCCACAATGAAACTTTGGGAGATGCTTTAAGATTATGTAAGGATCACCTACAAAGAAAATCAAAATTTTAAAAAATGCCCTTTTTGAAAAATCCAAATTTGAAAATTCAAAATTTTCCAAAAATTTTCCAAAAATTTTTTTTTTTCAATTTTTTTTTCTTTTAAAAAGAAGAACCTCTAGGCTTCAAAACAAGACCTAGTTCAAGTTTTTCCGATGAACCGTTGAAAAGTAACAGCCGTTCAAAGTTTTATTGGTCATAGAAAAACTCAATTTTTTCCAAACTTCGAAATTCCGCATAAAATTAACGGAGCGACCAAATGACCGAAGATTTGGGGAATATTTCTTTTTCAATAGGAACTTGCAGCACACCAAGTTTGAACATGATCCGAGAGGTCAAGGTTCAAAACCTCGTTGAGTTGACATGGAAGGACCCTCACGCAATGCCGATACGCATCGAAACTCATGTTCCAGAAACACGGTAAAAGCGCAATCCGATTCTGCGATACCTAGTGAGAAGGATGCGCATCTGTGCAGGAAAGTGTTGCAAACAAATATTTAAGGAGGGTGAAATAATTCTTGAAGGTACGAGGATTTGTGACACGTAAAAGGCGAACATGAAACATAAACTCCATTTTTTCTATTTAAAAAAAAAAATTCCGAAATTTGCCGCCTCCTAAAATCTGCTGCCCGGTGCTATGGCACCATGGCCCCCCCCCCCCCTAAATCCGGCTCTGGTGATAGCATGCACTGCTATTTGAAAATCATAGTNGGGGGGGGGGGGGGGGGGGGGGGGGGGTTATTCTGTTGATGCAGTGTTAATGGCAACTAACTTGTATGCAAAAATCACAGTGAAAATTTCTGTTCGCAAAGAGAATCTGTTGATGCAGTGTTACTGGCACCTGACACGCATTGAAAAATCACAGTGAAAATCAATGTTATGAAAGGGAGGGAGAGGGAGGGTCTGCCTTGTGTAAGTTTACATCCTGTGTCAAGAACTGTCTATAGCGTAAGGTTCTTTACAGTTCTTTTTCAGTTCTTTCGTAAGTTATTTCTCTCCCCCTCCCTTTAGAAGGGCGACTTTTACTGTGTTTTTTTACTGTGATTTCCAGGGTTTCATCAATATCTAGGTGATGTTGCAATCACGATTGATATGCTGCAGCTGCTTCAATTAAAAATTACTCATATTTGTGAGTATGAATCACGAGAGAAATTGGGAGGGTCTATTTTCAGTGTACATTTGAATTAAAGGAACTGAATCATCAATTATTCATTAATCTTGAAAGAGTGAAAAATCGCATTTTAACGCAATCTTTGTTGCTGCGAGGAATCACCTGTGATCATCGGGTGGATGGAGCGAACAGCAAAATGAGCAGCCAAATTGTGATTGGTGATCTGACAGGATCACGCAAGATCTGCTTTAAGAACCAAGTAAATTCCTCATCCATATAATTAACATTTAGAAAAAACATACAAGATTTACCTTCTATCCGTTTTTGAATTATTTTAGAGCTACTGGTAATTTTCTCATTAAAAAGATGAAAAAATTGCAAAAAAGTGGGTGCTATTTAAAACTCACAGTGTTAGTTAAATTCCAGTGTTGTCGAGTTTAGACTTTGTCCGGAGGTGGCTACCGCCACCCATGATGCTATTTAAAAATAGTCTTATTTTATTCGGAGGTAACACTCGCAACATGTAAAAACAAGCAACAATCGTAATTTGTTCGAAGTTGTTCTGTGTTGTGGGGCGGGGCTTACTTTCGCGCGCAAAATTTGGGAGCCCCTACAGCAGCATCGTTGTACCACAACTGCAACGTGCTCAAAGCAAGTCGTTTTTATGTTGTTCAAAAAAACAAAGCAATGCTGAGTCGTGTTTTGTTCGAAACAACAAATTGTTTCTGTTTTTTTTTTCTTGTTTCTTTTGCGTGATTCTGAACAACCAATGAGAAAGCGAATTCCAATTTTAGGTTAGAAAACATCGTTGTCTTGAGCAACAACATAAAAACGACTTGCCTCTGAGCACGTTGCAGTTGTTGTACAACAATGTTGCTGCAGGGGTTCCCAAATTTTGTGCGCGAAAATAAGCCCCGCCCCCACAACACAAAACAAATTCGAACAAAATGCGATTGTTGCTTGTTTTCCCAACATGTTGCGAGTGTTGCCTCCGAACAAAATACGACTAAAAGCGACCTGCTCTGAGCATGTTTGAGCACGTTGCAGTTGTTGTGCAACAATGTTGCTGTAGGGGTTCCCAAATTTTGCGCACGAAATTAAGCCCCGCCTCCCACAACACAAAACAACTTTGAACAAAATGCGATTGTTGCTCGTTTTTACAACATGTTGTGAGTGTTGCCTCCAAACAAAATACGACTCTGTTTTCTAACCTAAAATTGGAAGTTGCTTTTCATTGGTTGTACAGAATCGCGTAAATAAAA